TTCTTCATCGCCGACATCGCTTTCCGATTGCTTGGACTGCTTCCGGATAATCACATCTTAAACGCTGAATAGTTTTATTCCTTTGAAGTATATGACACACGAGAACACTCTACAGCACTATCAGCACATGTTACAGAGTGAACTAAACCAGTATTCTTCAGTCTTTTTTTCAGGAAGGCTATTTCCATGTTGCAGTTGACAACTTTTCCATTCGCTCTGATCAGTGCCGCGTTGCCTAATGGTCAGATTACCGGCAAATCTGATGTTCCAAAAAATCGTTTTTTTTTTTTCCACCGCATTTATTTGCACACCAAGATCTCCTCATGTAGCCGGCGTGAGTATTGCGTTTGAATACTTTTACTGGGATATCTCCACACGTCGGACGCAGCTGTATCACGTCTTTCGATTTTGCGCTGCAGCTGGTTCTCACTATCTGTCCGATGTAAATGCACCATCTCTTCGAGGACCGTCCGGGTGATCGTTTAGTTTCTCAGAGGCATTACTTACTGATGTTCGGCGCATACCAGTTTTTTTGTGCATTGGAACCAAACTGGTGCATATTCAAAACTACACGGGACTTGATTTCCGTGTTCACATAAAAGCTGGCTTCAAATTGCAAAATTCAAATTTTTAGCTTATCCAATCACATAGCTTCAGTTGGAGTGACTTATACGAAAAACTAACCACATGCATCCTGCATCTGCATAAACACATAAAAAAAAAACTCAAAAAAGTTCATAAAACTGCAACCTTTCTCGATTTCCGCGGATGGACGCATATGCTTGCCAACCAAATGATATTTCGGACAACGCAATAAATCTTTTACAGCTACCGCATTTTCCGCTTCCACCAAACCTCGGTCCACCCAAGCAGCGCATAATTTTTCTGAAAACGTGTCGCTACATGCCATTGCCAGAAAGGCCAGTTATTGCAGCAATTTTTTTCAATTTTTATTATCAATGTTACCTGCAATTTCAGTGCAAGATTGCGCTTCGACATCCAATAAGATGATCCCCTTACGGAGACAATTTTTGAGCTGTATTAGCCCGAGTACGGATAACAGAGTGACGTGTGGCTTTGAAAATCGAGTACCATCGCCTTCCACTGACTGCTCATATTTTATCCACCTGTATGTTGAGTTTTTTTTCAAAAATTCAGTGGCTTGAGGAACAAAAGTACAGTGAACAGATTACATGCAATTTCATCTGGAAGAGTCAGTTTTAAACATTGCCGAATAAGGTAAGTAGTTGTTTCTATACGATATTTTATCTTTACTAACCGGCTTCTCGCAGTCGAGAGCAGTACTGATTTCGTGCAGAAGGTCGAAAATTCGACACTACTAGAGTTCGATGCAGTACGGCAGTTAATCCCCGTACTTTTTGTTCATATATTTCGACGGTAAATCTGGTACTGGCACACGCCATAAAGC